TATTTTACCAATCAACTATTTACTTTATGCAGAATCAGTACTGAAAGTATTGTCGAAGGGTTCATGTGCACTTTAAGGTTTTTTAACAGAGATTTTGTTACGAAATAGGCGCCTCATCTCTGTTTAGTCGTTAAAGGAAATGTAACGTTTACACTGCCATAATAATAATAATGATGATCAAGCTGATGTTGATGATGATGATGATGATGATGATATGATAAATGATGAAAAGACAAAAAAATTGTGTTTTTGGACCTCAACAATTGTAATTAATATATATCTGATGTTTATTAGCCGAGTTTTTGGGCTACCAACCCGTCTCGCTGTTAACACGATTAATAAAAGGACAGTCATTAGAACGGTCATGTCAACGGTTGCACTTTGCCCCTATCTCCATTTTTTAAAACAAAGTAACAAAGTCGTAATGAGACGTGGTCGTGGGTGTCTTGAGGATCGAATCGTGAACCAACTGAGCTAAATGTGCTTTTGTTTTCATAGATATGAACTCCACTACACAATCTAATATTATAACTCTTCCGACAAACTTCAATCCTTTAATAATGCTGTATATTTTGTGTGTGTTTCCTCTTCCACTATTAGATCGGTTTGATGAAGCAGTGATAGAAGAACGTAGGAGAGGTTCCCTCAATCTGCTGAATTTTGCAGCAAGCATACCACAACTAGCAAAAAGTCAATGTTTTCGAAACTTTTTTCAGGTAATTTGATTTAAAAATATATCGATCTGTTCTCTTAAGCTGGGTGTCTTTTTATTACTGTAGATCAACTCGTTTCTGTGTTTTATTTTTCAAGGGAGGTATTTATCAACGTAGTGCCTGCTCTCGTAGCTCTTCTAAAACGTCTAGTTTTTCAAGTGATGATGGTGACATAACAGAATCTCATATTGTCGACAAAGACGGCAAGTGTGCAACGACTCATGATTCAGATGAATCTCAAGGTACATGCAGTCATTTTGGTCGCGCTGTTTACGCGAATAATCCAGTTTTTGAGCCACTACTGACGTTCTTATGAGTAAATGCCATTCAACTCTGGAGCATCATATCAGGTTGCTCTAGTCACATAATATTTTAATACTACCCTGGGCTCGAGAGCTTCTAATTTTGATTCAGGGGGTTTTAACGAGCGAGCGCCGAACTGTTGTTAATTTGGCGAATTTGCAGTGTTAATGATTGGCGAATTTCAAACTTGACCACGACCGAATGTTTACGAAAATTACCAAAATGATTARCATACCTCGGCCTTTGGTAAGTTATTTGAAAAAAGAGTATAGGTATGTAAAATCCATCACGATATTTGGCATAAAATAACTGATATAAATCTCGCGTTCTGATCGGTTGGGAGTGCGTGGTTTATGAAAGCACACAGCACGCACACGCACTTTCATTTGCGTCATTCCTATCCAAAATAACGGTACACTTCTCTCGTGTTCCAACCTCCGAATTCTTCATGACTGCAGACCGCACGCGCGCAAGTTTTCTATTTTTTTAAATAAAGCATAGCTTAACCAATAAAACAGCTTTTTCCGTGCTCCGTTAAGGTGACTGCCTACTTTTTTTTTTTTTAATATTAAACTTTGTTTTAAAACTTTGATTTTCCGAATTAAAATTTAATGTTGATTCCAAATCTGGAAAGAAAAATTGGTGTCCAAGCTTGTTTTGGAGATAATCAGCATTTAATATTAGCCTACGCGCGATCTTTTGGAGTAAAAATTGCGCCACCGGAAGTGATTAGAAAAAATTAAGATTCATAAAATAATAGTTATTTGCAGACTCTATGATTGCACGAATGAAGGTTAGTCAATCATTCTACTAAAATACGTGGATATGTTCGACAAAAAGACAAAGAGATACATAGTTTCGGTGCTCTTAAAAAATCTCATAAAGTCGAAAATTCCCCACAAAAATCTATTTTTTCATGTGTTAGAACATTTAACTTTTTCTAAAATGTTGATTTCTAGAATTTCCTAGATTTTTAGGAGTTTATTCAAATAAGCTATTARAAAATAGAGTCCCTTGCAAAATTTGTGGATTTTGCCCTGTTGAAGCTCAAAGCGCGTATGGTTCTTCAATAGAATCTTGTAGATTTTTCAGCGGTTTTTGAGCGCGCGCACATCGTGGGGTCAAATCGAACGTTCAAAAGTAGGCAGTCACCTTAAGTACACCTTTTGCTGTTCATTAACAGAAAATGTACATTCATTTGTGCCAATAGTTGTATCAATAACGTGTAATGTACTTTCATCAACACCACAAGTAACATCATTAGCGCGAATCAGCTTGCGATAACGATATTTGAATATGCGTGTACATTCATAGGCATCAATGGACAATCAATAGCTCGTTTGTACATTCATATGCGCGGAATGTATTTTMTTGTGCGCGAAATTCAACTTCAATAACACCAAATGACAGACAATTGCATTTATGGACAATCATTTACCCAAAAGTGAAAATTCATTAGTTCTATTAGCATAATAATTGACAATCTATAACGCGCTTGGACAATCATGAGGGTCAACGTTATATTCTATAGCGTGGTTCGACAAACATTTGCATGATTC